CCCTCCCTCCCTCCCTCCCTCCCTCCCTCCCTCTCTCTCTTTCTCTCTCTCTCTCTCTTTCTCTGCCTGTCTGCCTGCCTGTCTGTCTATCTGTCTGTCTGTCTGTCTCTGTTTCTGTCTCTCAACCCTCTACTGAGGATTGAAACTAGAGCCTCAGTCAAGGGTGTTACTAATGACCCACAGTCCCAGCCCTGCATATAGGTTTTGATACAAACTTTTCCTTTTGAGGAAAGAAGTCAGGAGTCAGGGAGCATCTTGAGCCGGGCAGAAGTGGACGCCTCGGCCCCACCTCAGCTTCAGAGCACCGTGAGCTCCTGTGTGAGTGTGGAGCAGTCACATTGTATGCGACCTTGACACTGTCTCTTTTGACATCCAAGCACCGGCTGCATACTTGGAGTTGGACTCGCCCTGTCCCTCATGAGCCACAGCAGCCACACGGAGTCACGAGTTCACGTGGCAGCATGTCTGCGGAAGCTGTCTGCCTACCTCGATGAGAGCGGGAGCCAGAGCAGGACCTTTCAGGAGGTAGGCCGAGGGGTCTGTCTCACCCTGCTCTGCTGACTTCCGCTGCAATGTCATTTGTCATTGCTGCTTTCTTCGTCTCATGGTTTAGTAGCCCGACGACTGAAGTTCCCACTTAGAGCTGCAGTAAAGAGAAGAGCTGACTGGCAAGCCACCTATATGATACCACAAGACCTCCAAATCATACTCAGATTTACACGTAGCATGTGGGATAAGAACCATTAGAGAATACACACATCTTCTGGAGGTTAAAACAAGGTTTTCCAGAATTGTCTTCAAGTGAAATGTAACTCTAAAAACAAGTCAGAAACAAGCTTAAGAAGCCACAAATAAGTGCCCAATAGCATGAAAATTATGGAGGAAATTCCCTTTACCACATTTGGTGAAGAGGTTTTTTTTTCCTCTGGTGTGGCAGAAAAATATGCATCACTAGAGCTGGTGTGACACTGCTGACATGTGTGACCCACGCTGAGCTGGGATGCTTTAGCTATGGGTCATGTCTTCTCTGTTGTGCCCAGGTAAAGCTGAGCTGCCCACGTCCGTCGTTGGGAGGGGCAGGGATGACCTTGTGGCCGGGCCAGATTCTCCCTCTCATTAGAGCAGATTCTGTTTTCTCCCAGCCTGCCCACAAGCTATTGATGGGGACATAATGGCTGCTCTGTTTCCCTGCTCAGCCCCTCTGTTCCCAGCAGTGGAACTTGTTGAATTGGGGAATTTCTTTGTGGCACAGAGGGTTGAAGTTTTGTTCTAGGTATGCACTGCATTACCATTTTTTAAGTAGTGTGGTGCATGATTTAAAAGTATGTATGTATACTTGGATATATTCATACAGAATGTATTTCTATGTCAAAGAAAGAACTATTTGATTAATCAGCAAAAACAAGGTTATTTTATTTTAACAGCTGCTTTTGTCTGCTGTGGTCTTTTGATTAATAAGTCTATCAGTAAGTAGTTTTGTCCCTCCTCAGATGTTTTATATCTGGCTGCTTCCTTGTAAGCTGCTTGCATTTTTATACATCAACCAGGCTGGGAGTTGAACTTTCTCCTTAATCGAAACAGCATCTTTATGAGGAAGGCTTGATGGTGAAAATGGGTCATAGCAGGAAGTTTGAGTTTGCAGAAACTGACTTTCTCAAACTTATGAGCCGTGCAGATGGCTCGTTTGGAACACTCTGCTCCTATTATCAGCTTTTCTTTATTTGCTTTTTCACTCATTTAGCTGCTAGGTTTGCACACCATACAATGAGGTCTGCAAAACTCCTCTCAGCTTCATGCAGTTCCTGTTCATTCATGCTCTCAGGCCCTCCTAGGGATTGGAAACGAGGTTGGGTTTCTCATCTTTACCGCCCTCTCCTGGGCGTCTGCGATGGAGTACATGGCACTTCATAGCTGTAAAGCTCTATTTTCCTGTGTTGTTGAAATGTGCTGTGTTGTGGCATGGCACTGTAAGGCAGCTTTGGCTTAGAGCAGTGGTTCTCCACCTTCCCAGCGCTGCGACCCTTTACTACAGTTCCTCATGTTGTGGTGAACACCAGCCATAAAATTATATTTGTTGCTACCTCATAGGTGTGATTTTGCTACTGTTTTGAATTGCAATGTAAATATTTTTGGCGATACACGGTAGCCAAGAGGGGCCTTGACCTACAGAGTTGAGAACCACTGGTGTAACGGCTGAAGACCTTCATTTGAATTCTGGTTTTGTCTCATAGCTATATGCATTTAAGCCTCCAAATTCTATCTAAAATGATCCCCATCTTGAGCCTGTTGTGAAACACAATATAAGTCAGATGGCAAACTGTTACCCAGTCTGGGATATCCTTGCCTAAATTCAGTTCTTCTGGGGAGAAGTTTGACAGATGAGATATAGCAACTAAGCCATACTCTTTGATTTTTGGCTGTAAGCAAACAGGTTTTTTTTTCTGCTGTTTTCTTCTCAGGTCCTCGCCTACACACTTAGCTGTGTGTGTGCATCAGCATTCAGTGCCGGCATCATTGAAGCTGTGGAGGCTGAAGAGATTATGAACAAGCTTCAGCTGTTGGTGGAGAACAACCAGCAGGTTGTAATGTGTCCCTCAGTGGTTTCCCTCCTTGAGCTTCCTGCTGCTGTTGCATGCTGCTTTCTCACTCACTGGGATGGACTCTGTTGTGTCTAGAATGGTACCAGCAGCCAGTGGCCACCAGATACCCTTCTTTGGTTTTATGTCTCAGCTTCTGTAGACATTTAGCTGAGAACATGTTGGCTAGGTGTAGATGTCAAGCCAGGGTATAGCTCTGGCTGAGCTAGAACTCAATATGTAGACCAGGCTAGCCTCAATCGAGATCTGCTTGCCTCTACCTTCCCAGTGCTGGGATTGAAGATGTGTGCCTCCATGTCCAGCTTTGTAATGTTTTTGATTTCTTCTTTTATAAATCATTAACATTCATGAAGTGCTAAAATCTGTGGCTAGAATGAAATTCAAGTAAAGCGAGAAACTGTGTAGAGGGGAAGGACTTTAAATTTGTAAGACATACGTAAGAGTAATGACAAAACTATAAAGTTATGAATGCGTTTTGGGCTCTGATTAAGTCAAACTCTGGCAAAATCAAGACGGATAATCTCTATTCACAACTGAGGATGTAAAGGAAAGTTTAAATTCTTAAAAATTATGCTTGAAATGACCGCTCTTAAATAATAATCGCTCCTTAAAAAGGAACCTTTGACATTGCTGTGATCTATGCTAAGCAAGATGAGCTAGTCACAAGAAAAGGCTGCCCAGTTGAGCTTGCGTGAGGTACTTTCCTTAGAGTCAAATCACAGGGACAGGGAGGAGACTTGTGGTTGCCTCTAGCGTAGAGGGTGGGAAGGTTTAATAGCAGAGTTTTTATTTTTCAAGATGAAAATAGTTCTGAAGACAGTTGTGAAACTGTGGATGTTCTTGATGCCTGTGAACTGCTATCTGTGCTTGAGACAATGAAAAAGAATTACACATGCCATAGAATTTCCCTCCTCTGACTCTTCAGAAAAGTTTCTCCATGTCTTAGTGCTGTCCTTTGTGAGTTACTTCAAGAGCCATTGATCTTAGTGACGTTATTACTGTTTTGTGAGCCTGTCTATGATGACATGTTCAGAATATGCTTTGCAATGACAAAGTCACAAGTGTTCGTATGCTGCATGTTTTCTTTCATAGGAGGTAATTTACCTTGGTTGGTGGACCACCAGCTTTTCACTCGTACCCTGTCCTGAGAATTTAGATTGATTGGGCTATTTATCAACAGTGAGAATTATTCTCCTAAGGCAGATGCCCTCAGTAGCAGAACTCCCTACAGTCAGACTCTTGTTTCCAAAGTCCAAACTTAGGGATAGGAACCCTAGAAATGCTTCATTTGCTCTATACATGATATATGTTCTATCTGACTCCTATGCTATGGCTTGTCTTCCCTCACCCCTGTTTTTATTTGTACCAGACCTCAGGCTTTGCGCTGGCATTAGGGAACTTGGTTTATGGTTTGTCTGTGTGTGGACATGGAAAAGCTGAAGACCTGGGCAACAGACTTCGCCCCAGCTGGATTAAAGTTGTCCTGACAGAGGTAAAAGTCACCTCCTGTATGCTATTATAAATTGTTATAAGGAAAAATAGGATTGATTTATTGCATTCTTTATAGGAACTGCTAAGTTATGTAGCATATGCAGGTAGTTTCAAACAAAAGACATGTATACTTTTATAAGTAGTTTAGCATGTTAACCATTGCAGGTTGTTTTATTTTTTAAAAGCTGACATTTTGATTATGCCTTAACTTTTAAAACAATGATAGATTTTTCTGGAAAAATATGTGGCTTCTTATCATTTCTATGACATAACAGCCTTAATGTTTTACTTTGTTTTAGTCTGTTATTATTTTAGGAGTCAATTATCAATTGTTAGTTGTATTGATCCTATGCATTTATTTCAATCTCAGCCATTGACTTGACTACGCAACAGTAACTTACATAAATTTCAAACCTAAGGGGTATTTTGCTTTTGACTCTTTTGATTCTTGGTTTGCAGGGTGCCCCCACCATGCTCTGTCTGGCTGCCCTTCATGGCTTGGTGGCACTGGTAGGCTCCGATGTGGATGTCATGCAGGTAAAGTCAGGAACTCTGAAGGGAGGGAATTTAGATGAATGAGTAACCATAGCAGCAATAGAGTGGATAGCCTACTATCCTAGGGGCAGAGGAGTTTATGCTCATGGTAACAGTTACTCGGAGGCCTTCAGTACCCTGCTCTGTGAAAAAGCACTCTTGGCTGAGAACTCTGTCTGTAGAGATCTGTTCCTTGTTCTTAGTTTATAGGAATTACTAAGGAAGTACTTTCCATAGACTTTCCTGCCCAAGAGAGTGACTGAAGCATAAGAAATTTCAAAATTCATGTGCAAGTTCATACCTGTAATGTTCCAGTTTAAATCTTTGCAAATGCTTTATTCTGAAACATTATCCCAGTGGACATAAGTGTGTGCAAGTTTATCACAGTTCTGAAATGCAGGCCTTTGTTCATACAAGTGAAACTTAGAGGGACTGCTATGTACCACTGTGAATAGGTGCTAAGAAATCAATGTAAATAAATCCTGGGCCCTGCCTTCGAGGAGCTCACCGCTTATGGACTTGAAATATTCTGACAGTTGATAAATCATCTCATACCTAGACAATTGTTCATGCTTTGTGCCATTTCTGCTTATTCTTTCAGCTAAAGTCAGAAGCCATCCAGAACACCCATTTTCAAGCAAGACTTAATGAAGTCATTCGAACCTTAACTGAGGTAAGAAGAGGAATTTGCAGTCCCTGAGTGGGACACACATCTCCTTTGTTGTCTTTTTCTACTATTTGTTATAGTGTATCTTTTCTGGTAAATATGAATGTTGAACATTCCTGTTGAGTTCATGGGGCATTTCAAAGTAGTAAATGGGCCGTGTTCATTGACAAATACGCCCTGCTCTTAGAATAAAAGAAAATTGACTTTTTTAAAAAGTTATATTCTTATTGATTCACCTTAAAAAATTAAACATGACCTTGCAAGGGTTATCCAGCTTTTGGGATAAAGACAAATGGAAGGTGGCCAAAGGGCAGGGCAGAAACCAGGGAAGCAACGGTCAGATGGCATTAGTTCAGATGAGTAAATAGTTAACATTGTTATTCTTGTAAAGTAGAGTTATATTCATCTTCTTTAAAATTTTTACCTGTTATTATTTTTATCTTTTAAAATATCGTGGTTACTGAATAAATTTTGAAAGTATAGGCTAGGAGAAGTTGAACCTATGTCACAGCTGTCCCGAGTATGTAATCACACCTCTTCCCAAGCATCATGCCCAGGCTAGGCTTTTGTAATTGCTATTCTTGCTATATCCAGTGCTTTCTAGCTTACTTTTTTCCCACTTGGTAAACTTGTTTTCATTCTTATAAAACATGGCTAATTATAATACCTAGCACTTAAAGAAGTTTTAGTAATTCATGTTGTAAAAGCCTGGATTTCTGGGCAGAGAAAAAATATTTTACATATATGAATAAGAATGTGCTCAGAAAAAGAATTTTACTGAAATTTAAGTTGTTAAAAGTTGGAAGAATTAGAAAACTATTATTTTAAAATGCTCATGGATTATAGTAAGCAATGATCAAAATTATTTAAAGAAAGGAATATGATATTTCTTCCTATTTTTTGAGGAACTTTATTCTTAAGTAACTTTCTCTTCCTTTCTACTTTCTGATTTTTTTGTTTGTTTGTTTGTTTGAGTCAGGATGGCGTGTGTTTCAGGCTAGCCTCAAACTGTGTAATTGAGGATGACTCTCACCTCTTGATCCACTTGCTTCTGCCTCCCACAGGCTGGGATGACAGGCATGAGCCACCACATTTGGTTTATGCAGTGCTAGAGCTGAGCCCATGCCCTTGTGTGCACCAGGCAAACACTCTACAAACTGAGCTACATCCTCAAATCCTTTTTTGAGCTTTCGTTTACCAGTTGGATTTTTTTTTTTATACCAGTCTTGTTCAGTGAAACCCAAGAATACTGCTACTACTTTCTGCCATGATTGGTTGATTGATGTTTGGTTGACTGATTGACTCATCAGTTAGCTCTAAGATTCAGGTGTGGTATAGGAGCCGCACATGGGCATCCTGTTACAGAGCTTCTCATTCTCAACCCAGCCTCTAACTCCTGCTTGGTCCATGAGATTTTACAGTGGCCTTTTAATGAACAGAGCTTGAATCTTGCCCCATCACTGTGCTTATTTGTTTCAAAACAGGTTATCAGTGTCTCAGGGGTGATTGGTCTTCAATCAAATGCAATATGGCTGCTAGGACATCTTCATCTATCTACCTTGTCTTCAAATCAAAGCAGAACTTCCGGTAAGATCAAAGTCCCAATACACCAGAGCTGGAAGAAGGAATGGCTGATTTGAAGTTCTGTACTTTGTTAAGGGGATTGTCCACATGATGCGTGTTATGATCTTTATTTTGTTTCTGAGCAAAATGGAGTAAAGGGAGGCTTCCAGACTTACTCCAGGTCACATGGCAGAAAGTGGTACTTTGAATGTAGATTCAAATCCCATATTCGTTCACACTTCCTTTCTGCCTTCCTTGAGGATAATGTAGCTATCAGCCTGTCCATTTTACAAATGAACAGTGTGTGACTCAGAACTATTACATGAGTTATATGCAGGGTTTTGTATACTGACAAGTCCATAAACAAAGAATTGGGTCCTTGAAGCTTGGAATACACATTTTATTTTTACTAAAAGTAATACTGTTATGTTTCATTTAAAAAAGCTCTTTATTCAGAGCCACATAGTGAGACCCTTTCTCATAAAAATCTGCTTCTTTACTTATGACTGGAATTTTCGTGCCCAGTGGCTTTATAAAGGTAAAGAGCTAAGCACATTGAAAGATGTGTACCTCCTCGGGGCTTGGAATCCTAGCTCTTCAAGTAACAAAGCCCTTTCTATTCATATCCTTTGATAAAAGCAATAAAACATTACAATTCCCATGTGCTTAATATATGTTTTTACTTGGAGATTTTCTGGGGGAAAGAAACACCATAATATATCTGTCCCTGGGTCTTTATAAGTGGCATTTTGACCCAGAGTCCGTCTTATATCTGGTCCACAGAGGTTTAGAAAACAACGATCCCTCACTGAACTTCACTTCACGTAGTCTTGGCAGCTCATCTACTGGTAGTATGATATGGGCTGCTGTAATTTTGTTTTCTTTTCTGCAGTCACTCTGCAGCTTTGGGCAGAGGATTCTGGTCCACAGCCTTCCCAACACAATGAACTTTATATAGCTGGAAGTTGTCATATTGTCATGGAAAAGGAATTTAATAAAAGCACCAAAATGATACAAGAATCCCTTGCTAATGTTAGGGCTCTTACAGAATCCTGGTTAAACAGCACTTAGCACCAAAGTTTGGTAGGTGTTTTTTTTTTTTATTGTTTTTTTGTTTTGTTTTTTTGGTTTGGTGTGTGTGTGTGTGTGTAGACTTATAGTTGTATCACAGACCATTTGGTCCATGTAATCAGATCATTTAGTGGTGAGTCATCTTACTCCCAGGTCCTTCTGTACAAAATAATTGTGTATCTGGAAAAGCATAGCTACTTCTTCCTGGTGGAATTTTCCAGTTGAGCCATTCATTGCAGTAAAGCTGTCTCATGAAACAATTATGCGGGACTGGAAGGAAAAGGATGTAGGAGACTCTCAGGACTCAGAAATGTCACTGACTCACTGGTTCAGGTCAGTAGCCACATCTGGTTCTTTGTACATGTTGGTCACTGAAGCTCTCTACTTTAGGTAAGAGATTGTGCTGTTGATTAACACTGGGTCTTGAATGTCTGGTTCATACAGTTGATGCAGCATCACGTGAAGAAGCCTCAAGGACAGTGCCCAAGCTTAGATGCCCAACAGGCTCCTTGCCTACCCTGCAGAGGTCACTGGATTGGACCTTGTTGGTTGTTACAGTATGCTAGGGACTTTTTTTTTTTTACCACTTCACTGGAGTAACCATCCTTTGTGATTTTTTTTTTTTTTTAGTCTTTCCTAGGTTTGTCACCATTTAACATTTTCCTGTATAGCCTAGGTGATTTCCTCAAAGCCAGTCACTTAATCTAATAGAATTCATTGCAGCCAGAGTATTGTGCAGAGATCAGTGGCATAAACATCCCTGCCTTGTTACCAGGTTGATACAGCAGCATGAGATCATTACCTCTCCTTCATTAGCCTTCCCAAGTCCACTGGTTAATTCGATCATTTCTGCTTCCACAGTTCCTACTGACTACAGCTATTTGCCTGAAGGCAGTTTTATTAGAGCAGCCGTTGGCTTCTTCGTCACAGGAGGAAAAAAAGGCAAGTGAGCACATTTCTTGAATTTTATCATTCTTTCGTTATGTTCTATAAGCTGTGTACCTTAAGACAAACCACATCTGAAGGGCCAAATGTTGTCTTCTGCCAAACCTTCTTCCTAGATGACTAGGAAGCTAGCTAAGGAATTGCTAGGTGAATATGCAAACTACATAGTCTCATGGTGGTGGCTCTGTGAAAACTCAGTCTTCCATTTAGTCATTCTTAGAGTGCATCAAGCACACACTGCTTTTTCTGCCATTCTCACTAACAGTGTACGTCATTGGTGTAAGTAGAGAAGGCACACCCAGGTGTCCTTTGTGTCCCAGGCCTGGCTGGGGAATAGCCCTTGTCTCTGGCCTTGTCTGCTCATTCTGCATTGTTGGAGTCACAGGCTCTAACTCCTGTTTCTAGCTTGTGATTTTTCTTGCACATGTTTAACCTGCTGTGCTCATGGGTTGTGGTCCTCTGTGTTAGAAGACAGAGGTTCAGTGCCTTTGTCACATAAGAACCCAACAGTGTCATGTGAGTTCCTGAAGAGGAGCTCTTTAATGCTGTACACGTTTCAGAGTTGTGAAGGAGAAGTGCAGGCTGTTAGAACTGTGTGTGTTCTGGCTCAGGTGCCAGCTTCATTAATGTAATTGTCTTTCAGTGATGTTCACTTCTTTTCCTCTTTCCTGGCTGGGCAAGCCAGTGACTATATGAGAGTAAGACCATTACTATTTTAAAAATTTGTAAAAATGCTTTAAAATAAATTAAAATGCAAAACTGCAAGAAATCTGGAAGAAGCAATTTGATAAATAAAGTTCATGGAAAAATAAAAATCTTTCTGCTGGAAGAGAAAGTATTATTGCTTGCTGTCCCTCTGGAAGCAGCAGTCACCGGGGCTTCAGAGCAGGAACTGGTTTTGTAGCTTGCTCCTTTAGTTTCTGGAGGTTATAGTGCATACTCTTACCCTAGGGTTGCAAGTTAGCACTGTTGGCTTTTAATTTTTTCCATATAAAAGTTGACATATGATTATGTCATTGTTATAATTGTTCTCTATAAACACATATAATGGGAGAAATTAGTTTAATGATTGTATTGCTATGAATTATATTATCATAAAGTACATATAATAGAAATATCTTCACTGTGAAGAAGTTGAATTCTTACTAAATGATCATCTAAACTTTCCACAGCCAGAATAATGTTAGCACCATTTTTTTTTGCTGTGTTTTTATTAAGTTGTTCATTGTTGGCTTATAAAATTTTAAAATGATTATGATGATTGAGATTAACATGAGAGTGAAGTAAAAACTGAGGTCAAATAAAAGCCTTCAGAAATGTTTTTTCTTTGTTTTGTTTTTTACTTTCTAGCAAATAAAATATCATTTTGCCCTCCCAGATCCATGTTTCTTGGCAGAAAGAAATTTTCTCTGAACCTTTTGGGGGTTCTTGGTTCACTGTGGTATCCTTGCCTGTGGTTTTTGCCGTCCTGGCTCAACAGGGAGTCCTCTGCTCTGAGACTGGAAGGTCAGGTGGTACTGAGATGCTGCAGTATGCAGCCTTGCTGGAAGCTCTTCTACAGCAGCCTGCTGGAGTGTTTCAAACTGCCATCTTGCCAGTTGGAATTTTGGCATTTTCAGGTTGTGGGAGAGGGCTGCCTTCCTGTCAGGTTTGCTGACTAGATTCAGAGGAAAATCTATTCAGCCCACACATTTCTAATGATGACCCCAGAGGAGTGGGGGCCGTGGGAGGCTGACCTCAGCCTCCAAAGCCCATTTACAAAAACAAAACCAGCCCCTGCTCTGTGGGACTAAATGGGATGGCCAGGAGCAGAGGTGTGCATGCAAACGAGCGCTTTCTTCTTCAATATGCCCAGCTCATTTGAATTTTAATAACTCCCTTCTGAAGGAGCTTTTGAGTTTAAATGTCTGGATGTCACTCACCAGAGCCCAGTGGGGCTGCTGATAGGAAGGATGACAACGTCAGTGAACTCTTTTGAGGAAGAGATAGTTTTTGAGAATTAAAATCATGCTTGGTACAGGCAGAGGATAGACCAGTTCAGGAATAGCACAGCTCCATCGCCTCTGTGGGCTATTTTTAAATTTAATAACTCACAAGAAAAAAGTGAAGGATTACATTTGATTCACACATACGACAGAATGAGAGTGACAGAGGTTTCCAGCACAACCCATGACATTCGAGAAGAACGTGTCAGACTGCTCTCTGAGACTTACCATGCTTTGTATTCACACCTTAATAGATGCATGATGATAGAGTGTCTATTCCTTCATGGAGACCTGCACTCAACGGCCATACCAAATCGGCAGAACACCTCCAGTTTGTAAGGAATTCAGTTCCTGGTTTTGAAAGTAACTGTGCCTTTGTCTCCCAGGTGACACTGTCCGTCTTCTCTGATATGGCCCTTCTATCTGGTGCATGATTCCTTAACTTTGCTAGGCATCATTCTCGATTACTCTTGAAATTTCTTGACAGTGCCAGCCTTAAAGTTTTTGTTCAGAACTGAATTCTTCCTGACATTAAAAAAAAAAAAAAGCCACAAGGCCACTATGTAGCTAAGGGTGGTCTTGAACTGACTATACTAATATAAACTCAGTGTGTGCTAAAGCTAGCCTTAAACCTCTGATCCTTCTCACGCACCCGCAAGGGCTGAGATCACAGGCATGGGCCAGCACAACCAGCTCTAATATTGAGTCTTACAATTTCCCGATCTACTCATCCTTCAGATTTTTGATCTTTTATGTTTTCTCAACCCCAAGCCATTTCACACTTCACCAGTATTTTATCCACATATTTAAGAGAACATTTAAAACACTTAATAAAAGTAATAATTCTTTCCTATGCAGGTATTTCTGCATAACAGGAATGTTTCTGTTGTCATTGGAGAGTGTGACCAAAGCTTTCTAAGCTCATACTTTTTATATTGGCTTTGAAGTTGATTGCATAAAGTGTTACCTAAGCAAGGTATATGAATCTCACTAATATAATAAATGGCATTTCCTCTGATATTACAGTGGGTAGTGATCTATGAAGGTAAACTTTAGGCTTATACATACATTTTCTGAATTTATATTCTCAATCATTTTTGGAATTTTAGTCATTTTGGACTAGTGTGAGATTTACTTGTTTAGACAGTGTCTAGCAGAATTCCTGAATATATACTCAAAATAATATTAAAAGGTTGTTTGTTTTTATGAAATTATAGAATTGGTTACCAAAACTGTGTGCCGTTTTTAATATTTTGAATTATTTAATATTTTACCTATACATCTCTGAAACATTACTACGAATGCATGCTTGTGTAAAGCACTGACTTTAAAAATGGCATAAGGAAGAAGATAGCAGCCGAGCAAAGTGGCTCATACCTGCAATCCCAGTGCTTGAGAGGCTGAGCCAGGTCGGGTTTGGGGGCCATCTTGGGATATATAGTGACCTCCAGACTGTCCAAGGCTATAAAGTGAAAGTAGGCTAACCCCTATTCCTGTAAATGAGCACAGTTGTCATTTATCTTCTGTGACAGGAGGCATAGGGGACATAGGAAAAGCACAACAGTGCAACACTTTCTTGACATTTGTCAAGATCTCAAAACTCTCCTGTATTGTTACTTATTTAATTTATTAGTTAATTAATTAATTTAGACAACATCATATATACCTAAGGATGAGCCTTGAACTAACTATGTAGCCAAGGATGACCTTGAACTTCTGACCTCAAGTCCTGGGATATTAGACATGTGTCACCATGCCTGACTTATGGGATGCTGGGGTGTCCGGCCCAGGGCACACAGAGCAAGGTGTACAAGCTCTCCCAACTGAGCTACATCCTCAACTCTTTATTTTTTCCTTTAACCATAGAATCAATCTATAATTCTCTTTAGATAGTATCATTTAAAAATATTTGTCAACTTATTACTTTTATTCTTGTATAAATTTTACTTTTTAAAATATTTATATGTGTGATGGCTAAACTTGCTTACTACTTGACACACCAGGAGAAAGGTACCCTAAATAGAAGAATTGTCTCTATCAGATTGGCCTGTGTGCATGTCTTTGGGACATTATCTTGATTATAATTGATGTACAAAGTCCCAGCCCACCGTGGGCAGTACCATCCCTAGGTAGGTAGGCCTGGGCTATATAAGATAGCTCTATGAATGGGAGCCAGTAAGAAAGAAGCCAGTAAGTAGCATTCCTCTGTGGTCTCTGCTTTAAGCTCCTGCCTTAAGTTTCTGCTTTGGGTTTCACGGCTGGGACCTAAAAACTGATATGAACCCCTTCTTCCCCAGATTTTGGTCATGGTGTCTTGCACAGCAACAGAAAGTAACCCATTTGTCACCATAATTATCACTTACACATGATTGTTGAGTATCTCATCAAGGTGCCGGCAAAATGGCTTAGTGTGTGAGGCAGCTTGATACCAAGGACAACCTCAGTGTGATGTCCAGACCCACATGGCAGAAGAGAACTGACTCTTAAGATTTGTTCCTTGACTTTTGCATGTCTGTGCTTCTTTGAATATACCCAATAAATAAGTGTAATTAATACTTAATCAAGTTGTTATATCAAAATTAGTCATTCCACTGTGGGTCACTTTTAAAGTATCTGTTTAGTGAATATCTCTATCCAGGTGGATTTCTCTTTTACTAGTTTTCCTTATGGTAAATTCTCAGTAGTTTATTAATGGGCAAGGGTATGAAGATTTGGTAACTAGAAGGAAGGCATGGCCTCTTTAGAGATTTATTTTTATGTCTGTGTGTGTGTGTGTGTGTGTGTGTGTGTGTGTGTGTTAGGAACAGAACTCAGGGCTTCTGGAAGAACAAGCTCTCTTATGAAGCCATCTCTCCAGACGCTGGCATAGCCCTTCAATGCTACAAAAGGATTATAAAGCCTGAAAGAAATTGTTATATCATAAAGTTTAAAATACAGGCATCTGACTACTCAGGTTTCTATCCCAGTTTGGCTGCTTGCAGCATATGTAAATTCAGGCAAGCCCCCTGTGCT